GCATGTTTGTCTTACCTTAGAAGAAACAAAAATGTTTTCCTAATGATTGTGGTCCGTGTGGTTCTCAAATTTTCTTCGGACGGGCTCCCATTTGTAATAAACCTTGGCTTGACTTGGACTGCGCCTTGGCTTACTACTTATTGGCTTTAGCCACGGCTCACTCTCTGGATGTTACTGCTACACAACTTGCACTACTTTAACGTCTAGAGTTGACAGCACAAACGCCGCTCAGCTTCTTGGTACATTCTGTCAGTTTATTCTCGTCCATTTATTTCACATGTTCAAACATTATTTACACTTTATCACTCGCGACATATTCAACACTAACCATTTGCGCAACATAAAGACGACATCTTCAAATACTACAACCGTCTTATCTGACTTCTGATGATCGACTGACCACGAGGCTAGCTCGGGCTTTCCCTCGCTTCCTCGACTAGGCACAAGTATCTCGTGCTGTCCCTTGTTGCACGGACTTTCTGCTTGCCACTATGTAATCGTGAGGACCATGCAAAGCAGGGTCATTACACCTGCCAATATACTACACATGGAATGCATCAGCTAAAAAGTTTCAACGTTGCAAGCAAGGTCAAGCGGTTGACGGACATCTTAATTTATATTCTACTGATATTTTAGGCCGTCTGTACACTGTTCATCCCAAAAATGCAGATTGCTTTTACTTGCGATTACGTTTAATCAACAAACGGGGACCGGCATCCTTCCAGGACTTGAGAACAGTTTATGGTAAAGTATGCGCTACTTACCGTGAAGGTTGTCAAGAATTAAATCTTCTTGAAAATGATGCACATTGGGACACTTCACTCGCTGATGCTTCGAATACTGCTTGACCACAGCAAATACGCACATTATTTGCAATAATATTAACAACTTGCTTCCCATTCATTCCAAAAGAGCTTTGGGAAAAATACAAAGACTACATGAGTGAAGACATCCTGGCGTGAAACGAAGCATGATCAGGACCTTCAATTCACACCAAATGTATATAATGAGGCATTTGTTTGCATTGAGGACATATGTTTGACAATAACTAACAAAGCACTGGTTCAGGTGGGACTGGCTCCACCAGAACAATCTGCAAACAACCTTTTCGATCGTGAATTGCCATGAATCCGAACATCTAAGACAAATTACCAGGCGGTGTGACAACGTATAAGTCTATCGATTCTGTAATGAATCAGGACGAAATTGTTAATTATCCAACTGAGTTCTTAAATTCACTTGATTTGCCAGGCATGCCACCCCACATTTTAACCGTGAAAATTGGCGTGCCCATCATTCTTCTCAGAAACATCAATCCGCCACGTCTTTGCAATGGTACCAGGCTTTCAGTGAAAAGGCTGATGCTCAATATCATCGAAGGTACAATTTTAAATGGGAAATTTAAGAGCGAGAATATATTTTTGCCCCGCATCCCAATGATTCCAACAGACATGCCATTTGACTTCAGACGCTTGCAGTTTCCGGTGCGACTCGCCTTTGCAATGACCATAAACAAATCACAGGGACAATCCCTACAAGTGTGTGGACTACGTTTGGAACATCCATGCTTTTTACATGGACAGCTATATGTGGCCTGTTCACGCGTCGGAAAACCTTCTAATTTATTTGTGTACGCGCCAGACGGAAGAACAAAGAACATTGTTTACCCAAAAGCACTTCAGTAAACACATTTTTAATGTTAAATTACCGGCACAATGATCCAATATAATAACATTTTGTTAGAGCGATTTTCCTTTCAATTCACTTTCTGTTGTGGCAACGCGTGCAGGGTTGTTTACAGCAATTAGCAAATGTGCTCATTTCGTAATTATGGTGTATTTTTTCTCTTTTCATTGCTTTTCACTAGGGTAATTTTTCCAACTACTTCGATGAAGGAGAAAGTAGTATGTGAACTGGGGGATGGGTGGTTACAATAAACTGTTTACTGAGATAGATTTAAGTTACAGTATCTGCCTTACCCACTCAAAGTTTTATTAGCTGAGGTTTAGTTGTTGCACTGTACATCGCTAGCGTGAAGCGAAGACACATTTCTATGTTCTCTATTTTCCATATAGCCAAATTACGCCACAGCAAAGCGTGGCCGGGTACAGCTAGTGTACCTATATATCTCACTGGTTGTCCACATCTCTGATAACCAACAAGGTAGAAGGTCTCGCTGGGGTCATGAACACAAGCAGCTAGATCTACAATGTACCTTGTATGTTTCTGACAAGTCATGTACGTTTATTTAGACAGTTTAAAGACTGACATTTTATATCATGTCAGGCAACAGGTAGACAGCTAAGGAGACATTACACAACGGAAACATAGCAACAGACCAGACGACAACAGACCACACCCACACAACAACAGCCCACACAACAACAGACCACACCCACACAACAACAGACCACACCCATACAACAACAGACCACACCCATACAACAACAGCCCAGACAACAAAGACCACACAACAACAGCCCAGACAACAAAGACCACACAACAACAGCCCAGACAACAAAGACCACACAACAACAGCCCAGACAACAAAGACCACACAACAACAGCCCAGACAACAAAGACCACACAACAACAGCCCAGACAACAAAGACCACACAACAACAGCCCAGACAACAAAGACCACACAACAACAGCACACACCCACACAACAACAGCCCAGACAACAAAGACCACACAACAACAGCACACACCCACACAACAACAGACCACACCCACACAACAACAGCACACACCCACACAACAACAGACCACACCCACACAACAACAGACCACACCCACACAACAACAGACCACACCCACACAACAACAGACCACACCCACACAACAACAGACCCATGCAAACTCAACAGGGACAGTAAGTTGACACATTAATACGTCTACTGGTTAATCAATCTGTCACAAGAAGATCTGTCACCTGTCACAAGCAGATCTGTCAGACATGTCACAGCACATGTCACCTGTCACAGCAGACAGTCATCTGTCACCAGCAGACCTGTCACCTGTCACTAGTAGACCTGTCAAAAGCAGACCTGTCACCAGCAGACGTGTCACCAGCAGACCTGTCACCTGCAGACCTATCATCAGGAGACCTGTCACCAGCAGACCTGTCACCTGTCACAAGCAGTACCATCAGACATGTCACCTGTCACCAGCAGAGACCTGTCACCCACAAGCAGATCACACCTGCAGACCTGTAATATCAGTCACCAGCAGACCTGTCACCTCACTAGGACCTGACCTGTCACCAGCACCTGTACCTGTCACAGGAGACCTGTCACTAGTCACCTGACTAGTAGACCTGTCACGTGCAGACCTGTTACCTGCAGACCTATCACCTGTCACCTGCAGACCTATCACCTGTCACCAGCAAACCTATCACCTGTCACAAGCAGACCTGTCACCTGTCACAAGCAGATCTGTCACCTGTCACAAGCAGATTTGTCACCAGCAGACCTGTCACCTGCCACAAGCACATCTGTCACCTGTCACAAGCAGATCTGTCACCAGCAGACCTGTCATCTGTTACAAGCAGATCTGTCACCAGCAGACCTGTCATCTGTCACAAGAAGATCTGTCACCTGTCACAAGCAGATCTGTCACCAGCAGACCTGTTACCTGTCACAAGCAGATCTGTCACCTGTCACAAGCAGATCTGTAACCAGCAGACCTTTTACCTGCAGACCTGTCACCTGACACCAGCAGACCTGTCACCTGTCACCAGCGGACATGTCACCTGTCACCAGCAGACGTATCACCCGTCACCAGCAGACCTGTCACCTGTCACTAGTAGACCTGTCACGTGCAGAACTGTCACCTGCAGACCTATTACCTGTCACCAGCAGACCTGTCACGTGTCACAAGCAAATCTGTCACCTGTCACAAGCAGACCTGTCACCAGCAGACCTGTCACCTGTCACAAGCAGATCTGTCACCTGTCACAAGCAGATCTGTCACCAGCAGACCTGTCATCTTTCACCTGCAGACCTGTCACCTGTCACAAGCAGATCTGTCACCAGCAGACCGCTCACATGTCACCTGCAGACCTGTCACCCGTCACCAGCAGACCTGTCACCTGCAGACCTGTCACCTGCAGACCTGTCACCAGTCACCAGCAGACCTGTCACCTGCAGACCTGTCATCTTTCACCTGCAGACTTGTTACCCGTCATCAGCAGACCTGTCACCAGCAGAACTGTCACCTGTCACCAGCAGAACTGTCACCTGTCACCAGCAGACCTGTCACCCGCAGACCTGTCACCAGCAGACCTGTTACGTGTCACCCGCAGACCTGCCACCAGCAGACCTGTCACCAGCAGACCTGCCACCTGTCACCAGCAGACCTGTCACCTGTCACCAGCAGACCTGTCACCAGCAGACCTGTCACCTGTCACCAGCAGACCTGCCAACAGCAGACCTGCCACCAGCAGACCTGCCACCTACAGACATGTCACCTGTCACCAGCAGACCTGCAACCTGCAGACCTGTCACCAGCAGACCTGTCACCAGCAGACCTGCCACCAGCAGACCTATCACCAGCAGACCTGTCACCTGCAGACTTGTCACCAGCAGACCTGTGACCTGCAGACCTGTCACCTGCATAATTGTCACCCGTCACCAGCAGACCTGTCACCTGCAGACCTGTCACCCGCCACCAGCAGACCTGTCATCTGTCACCTGCAGACATGTCACCTGCAGACCTGTCACAGCAGACCTGTCACCTTCAGACTTGTTACCCGTCACCAGCAGACCTGTCACCTGCAGATCTGTCACCCGTCACCAGCAGACATGTCACCTGCAGACCTGTCACCCGTCACCAGCAGACCTGCCACCTGTCACCAGCAGACCTGCGACCTGCAGACCTGTCACCTGCAGACTTTTCACCCGTCACCAGCAGACCTGTCACCCGTCACCAGCATACCTGCCACCAGCAGACCTGTCACCCGTCACCTGCAGACCTGTCACCTGCAGACTTGTCACCTGTCACCAGCAGACCTGTCCCCTGTCACCAGCAGACCTGCCACCTGTCACCTGCAGACTTGTCACCAGCAGACCTGTTACGTGCAGACTTGTCACATACAGACCTGTCACCATTAGACCTGTCACATACAGACCTGTCACCAGCAGACCTGTCACCTGCAGACTTGTCACATACAGACCTGTCACCAGCAGACCTGTCACATACAGACCTGTCACATACAGACCTGTCACCAGCAGACTTGTCACCTGCAGACTTGTCACCTGCAGACTTGTCACATACAGACCTGTCACCAGCAGACTTGTCACATACAGACCTGTCACCTGTAGACTTGTCACATACAGACCTGTCACCTGCAGACTTGTCACATACAGACCTGTCACCAGCAGACCTGTCACATACAGACCTGTCACCAGCAGACTTGTCACATACAGACCTGTCACCTGCAGACCTGTCACATACAGACCTGTCACCAGCAGACTTGTCACCATCAGACCTGTCACTAGTAGACCTGTCACCAGCAGACCTGTCACAAGCAGACTTGTCACCATCAGACCGGTCACTAGTAGACATGTCACCAGCAGACCTGTCACCAGCAGACCGGACACCAGCAGACCTGTCACATACAGACCTGTCACCAGCAGACCTGTCACCAGCAGACCTGTCACCTGTCACCAGCAGACCTGTCACCAGCAGACCTGTATATGTTCTGAAAGGAGACTTCTCTCAACATCTCTCACAACAGTAGACAGGAGACTTGTCTCAACATCTCTCACAACAGTAGACAAGAGAAAACAACTCACTGACTTGACCACGTAGAACCAGTCGCAGAGCTTGCTGTCCTTGACGATCACCGTGTTCCGCCTGATTTAAAAAAAACACACACATGTCACAGCCAGAGTCACTTTTGTTTCACGTCCAGTTCCGGAAGAGGGACTGTGCTAGGTGTGTGTCTTGTGGGTGTAGCTGCGGGGGGCTGTGTTAGGTGTGTGTCTTGTGGGTGTAGATGCTAGGGGCTGTGTTAGGTGTGTGTCTTGTGGGTGTAGCTGCTAGGGGCTGTGTTAGGTGTGTGTCTTGTGGGTGTAGCTGCGGGGGGCTGTGTTAGGTGTGTGTCTTGTGGGTGTAGCTGCGGGGGGCTGTGTTAGGTGTGTGTCTTGTGGGTGTAGCTGCTAGGGACTGTGTTAGGTGTGTGTCTTGTGGGTGTAGCTGCGGGGGGCTGTGTTAGGTGTGTGTCTTGTGGGTGTAGCTGCTAGGGACTGTGTTAGGTGTGTGTCTTGTGGGTGTAGCTGCGGGGGGCTGTGTTAGGTGTGTGTCTTGTGGGTGTAGCTGCTAGGGACTGTGTTAGGTGTGTGTCTTGTGGGTGTAACTGCGGGGGGCTGTGTTAGGTGTGTGTCTTGTGGGTGTAGCTGCTAGGGACTGTGTTAGGTGTGTGTCTTGTGGGTGTAGCTGCTAGGGACTGTGTTAGGTGTGTGTCTTGTGGGTGTAGCTGCTAGGGACTGTGTTAGGTGTGTGTCTTGTGGGTGTAGCTGCTAGGGACTGTGTTAGGTGTGTGTCTTGTGGGTGTAGCTGCGGGGGGCTGTGTTAGGTGTGTGTCTTGTGGGTGTAGCTGCGGGGGGCTGTGTTAGGTGTGTGTCTTGTGGGTGTAGCTGCTAGGGACTGTGGTAGGTGTGTGTCTTGTGGGTGTAGCTGCGGGGGGCTGTGTTAGGTGTGTGTCTTGTGGGTGTAGCTGCGGGGGGCTGTGTTAGGTGTGTGTCTTGTGGGTGTAGCTGCTAGGGGCTGTGTTAGGTGTGTCTTGTGGGTGTAGCTGCGGGGGGCTGTGTTAGGTGTGTGTCTTGTGGGTGTAGCTGCGGGGGGCTGTGTTAGGTGTGTGTCTTGTGGGTGTAGCTGCGGGGGGCTGTGTTAGGTGTGTGTCTTGTGGGTGTAGCTGCGGGGGGCTGTGGTAGGTGTGTGTCTTGTGGGTGTAGCTGCGGGGGGCTGTGTTAGGTGTGTGTCTTGTGGGTGTAGCTGCTAGGGACTGTGTTAGGTGTGTTTCTTGTGGGTGTAGCTGCGGGGGGGGGGGGCTGTGTTAGGTGTGTGTCTTGTGGGTGTAGCTGCTAGGGACTGTGGTAGGTGTGTGTCTTGTGGGTGTAGCTGCGGGGGGCTGTGTTAGGTGTGTGTCTTGTGGGTGTAGCTGCGGGGGGCTGTGTTAGGTGTGTGTCTTGTGGGTGTAGCTGCGGGGGGCTGTATTAGGTGTGTGTCTTGTGGGTGTAGCTGCGGGGGGTTGTGGTAGTTGTGTGTCTTGTGGGTGTAGATGCTAGGGGCTGTGTTAGGTGTGTGTCTTGTGGGTGTAGCTGCTAGGGGCTGTGTTAGGTGTGTGTCTTGTGGGTGTAGATGCGAGGGGCTGTGGTAGGTTGTGTGTCTTGTGTATGTACACATTTGTAAACAAGTAAGCAAATCTCCTGGACTGTGAACAGAACGAACGAAAGAACAAACAAACTTGATTTTCAAAGGGTTACAAATTAGGCAGGCAGGCCCGTCTTATATTCGGCCCTTCTAAGCACTCATCTTTGAGAGCACCATTACAAGTTATCAATAATGTCTGTTATGTTTACATACATACATACATACATACATACATACATACATACATACATACATACATACATACATACATACATACATACATACATACATACATACATACATACATACATACATACATACATACATACATACATACATACATACATACATACATACATACATACATACATACATACCTACATACATACATACATACATACTTACACACATACATACATACACACATACATACGTGCAAACATACATACATACAAACATACATACATACAAACATACTAACATACAAACATACATACATACATACACACATACATACGTACAAACATACATACATACATACATACATACATACATACATACATACATACATACATACATACATACATACATACATACATACATACATACATACATACATACATACATACATACATACATACATACATACATACATACATACATACATACATACATACATATATACACACATACACACACACATACATACATACATACATACATACATACACACACACACACACACACACACACACACACACACACACACATACATACATACATACATACATACATACATACATACATACATACATACATACATACATACATACATACATACATACATACATACATACATACATACATACATACATACATACATACATACATACATACATACATACATACATACATACATACATACATACATACATACATACATACATACATACATACATACATACATACATACATACATACATACATACATACACACACACATACATACATACATACATACATACATAAATACATACATACATACATACATACATACATACATACATACATACATACATACATACATACATACATACATACATACATACATACATACATACATACACATACATACATACATACATGCATGCATACATACATACATACATACATACATACATACATACATACATACATACATACATACATACATACATACATACATACATACATACATACATACATACATACATACATACATACATACATACATACATACATACATACATACATACATACATACATACATACATACATACATACATACATGCATGCATGCATGCATGCATGCATGCATGCATGCATGCATGCATACATACATACATACATACATACATACATACATACATACATACATACATACATACATACATACATACATACATACATACATACATACATACATACATACATGCATGCTGACATACAAGTAGCACATACACCTGTACATCCATATCACACACCACTCGTACGTGTGTGTATCAAACACACACACACACACACACACACACACACACAGCTTATCCATATGTAAGATGAGAATGCATTATGAGATTAAAACAGATAAGTGTTAAACAGTCTGAGATATCTTGATGTCTCGGTGCCACTAGGAGAACAGGAGAATTTACGAGACCTAGTGAATTAGATTTGACGTCTTTAACTAAAAATTTAGTGGTACCCTGGAATTCGAACGACATTTCGAAGTAAATTTGGCCTCAGAACTCGAACACTAAACTGGTAATTGAACACCTGACAATGCAAGAGCTACAGCACCTCCACCAACACCAGCAGAAGCAATGTCTTGCGGTGAGGACAAGGGGCAAGCTGGAAGGACTAGCACTGTTGAAATCCAAGAACTGTTGACCATGGGGTAGAAAACACCGGAAGTTGTTGAGAACTGGCACCCTGATAGAACCCTAGTTAACGGGTGTGTGAAATTTAAATTTTGCAGTGATAACATTAAAAGACGAGTCAGCTTCGTTCAGCACTTGAAGAAGGTTTGGGGTCAAAAATTTTTGTTGACAGGCAACCTCACAGAGTGCTTAAGTGCTGGCGACCATTTTTTATTTCATCATCCAAACAACAGTCTTTCTAAATCCCCCTTCCTCCCCCCACTTCTAAGTTCTATGTCACTATGTTGATCAAGGTACAGTCAATACAATGTATTAATATTAGTTTTTCCTATCTATTTATGTTTGTAGCGAAATATGATCTTTGTGTGTTACTATATTTACAGCCTACTGTATTAAAGAAATACATTTGACAATTTGATCTTTTCAGAACCTGGAACAAATCTATTTAGTTCTAATTATTTTCAACAGTGGGGGGGGGGGGGGGGGGGGGGTAGGGGAAGGGTTCTTTGTAACTCGAACGATCTGGAAATCAAACATCTTGTCTCAAAATTTAAAATAGTTTGGTCATAACGAGCGCCATAGAGGATTGTAAAAGACAATAGCAGAAGGCATGGGACCAGTTAAGTGAGGCAGGGGCCAGCCAACACGAAGATAGGCACAGGATAACAGTGAATCCTTGAGTATGAACGTACATGAGACAGGAGAGCTGGCGAGAGAAGGAGTTTCTTTCAGTCAGACCGTGAGAAGAGTGAGGTCTGCAAAGGACCTGCTACATGATGATGATGACCCGACGGCAGGGAACACTGGGATTAGTCGCACCGTGTTGAACCTCGTGGAGATGTCTGGACTTGCTACTGAACCTCGTGGAGATGTCTGGACTTGCTACTGAACCTTGTGGAGATGTCTGGACTTGCTAATGAACCTAGGCGCCAACAACTTACTTGAAAAAGTGCAGCAGACACTGGTCCGGACGCTCCAGCAGACGCTCTAGTGGCCAGTCTTTCATGAAGTCCAGTTGACTGAAAATGTGTGAACAATGGGTGACCACTTTATTACTGACCACTCCATCAACTTTTTAACTAAAGTTTTATTTGTCTTTTTTTTCCCTCTAACACCCCCTATCCATTTTTTTTTTTGGTGTGTTCACTGTCTGTAAACTCCAAGAAAAAATCTGGGTGTTTGTCCATTTCCGTACTTTGGTTTTGCACCAACAGTTAGATTCTGCGTGCACATCCGTTTTGCCGATTCCGCCTAATTGTAGTCAGACTGTTGGTTCCTCGCCTCTGAGGTTAATTAATGCAGTGCCACTTGGAAAGCAACCTTTCTAATAAGTTGCCTCCTAGGACTTTGTGGTTACGTGCAGTGGGTACCCGAACCCACTCCGAATGAGACCAGGAAACCACACAAGCAAGTGTTCTACAATGTTGACAAATATGTTTTTGTCAACTCTCAGGGATTGTCAACTCTCAGGGATTGTCAACTCTCAGGGATTGTCAACTCTCAGGGATTGTCAACTCTCAGGGATTGTCAACTCTCAGGGATTGTCAACTCTCAGGGATTGTCAACTCTCAGGGATTGTCAACTCTCAGGGATTGTCAACTCTCAGGGATTGTCAACTCTCAGGGATTGTCAACTCTCAGGGATTGTCAACTCTCAGGGATTGTCAACTCTCAGGGATTGTCAACTCTCAGGGATTGTCAACTCTCAGGGATTGTCAACTCTCAGGGATTGTCAACTCTCAGGGATTGTCAACTCTCAGGGATTGTCAACTCTCAGGGATTGTCAACTCTCAGGGATTGTCAACTCTCAGGGATTGTCAACTCTCAGGGATTGTCAACTCTCAGGGATTGTCAACTCTCAGGGATTGTCAACTCTCAGGGATTGTCAACTCTCAGGGATTGTCAACTCTCAGGGATTGTCAACTCTCAGGGATTGTCAACTCTCAGGGATTGTCAACTCTCAGGGATTGTCAACTCTCAGGGATTGTCAACTCTCAGGGATTGTCAACTCTCAGGGATTGTCAACTCTCAGGGATTGTCAACTCTCAGGGATTGTCAACTCTCAGGGATTGTCAACTCTCAGGGATTGTCAACTCTCAGGGATTGTCAACTCTCAGGGATTGTCAACTCTCAGGGATTGTCAACTCTCAGGGATTGTTACCTTTCAGGGATTGTTACCTCTCAGGGATTGTTACCTTTCAGGGATTGTTACCTCTCAGGGATTGTTACCTCTCAGGGATTGTTACCTCTCAGAGATTGTTACCTCTCAGAGATTGTTACCTCTCAGATAAACTGAATTGCAAAGTATCTCATCTGATAAACTGGATGCGCAAAGTATCTCACCTGATAAACTGGATTTGCAAGGTATATCAACTGATAAACTTGATGTGCAAGGTAAATCGCCTGATAAACTGGATGTGCAAGGTAAATCGCCTGATAAACTGGATGTGCAAGGTATATCGCCTGATAAACTGGATGTGCAAGGTATGTCGCCTGATAAACTGGATGTGCAAGGTAAATCGACTGATTTAAGCCTCCAGTTTCTCTGTAGGATTGAGGCCAACGTTTGTCTTGTAGACAGAGCGCTTTTGTGATATTCAAATTATAATTTACTCGTTAATAGTACTTAATAGTAATTAAGAGCATGGACAGAGCAGATATCGTTAACGCTGTACGTACTGGGCTAGTGGATAATATCGAATCCCTGACACTAACACGATTGCGTGACATGGGAGTTAAGCATGGTGAAGCACGTCTTTGCCGTCTGCGAGGCCGAGAAAGGAGACAATATAACCAGCTTCTCATGGGGACAATTAGTAGAAGTACTTTGGAGTGGCTGCTGCTTCGGAGGACTGCGCACGCATGGGTATGCCCAATGTGCAGTGACGTCGATTGTGATAACAAAACACAAAATAACATTTTATAGGAAGTCGGCATTCTGAAACCCAAGTTCAAGGTGTCTCCTTCGTGCCAAAGAACTGCATGGCTGTTGGGTGAACAGTCGTTAACGAAGGCAGTCAGGTCGTTGTAGGGGCGACGCCTGCTGGTGGATGTAATGTCCTAAGTCCCTTTCCCAGCTAATAGTGAGGGTACTGCTGGGGTGACCATTTGTTAACCCCTCACATAATGCTTCAAGTCACAGTGGACACTAGGCACGACCACTTTTTTTTTTTTTAAAGCCGTGGCAGTTCTGCCAGGCGGTGGCCGTTGCATTTTTGCTCCATTTGTAGACTGGAAGGATATAGTTTCGTCACCCAGCTTCTGAGTTGAGTGCATGGTGTGACACTGTGAGCTACGAGTGTTTTTCGTTGGCACAGGAGCGGAGCAACAATGGGGTGACCCGTTTGCTATGATGCTGAAACTAGGATTACCAGATTACCAGATTACCAGAAATCGACTGATAAACTGAATGTGCAAGGTATATCGCCTGATAAACTGGATGTGCAAGGTATATCGCCTGATAAACTGGATGTGCAAGGTAAATCGACTGATAAACTGGATGTGCAAGGTATATCGCCTGATAAACTGGATGTGCAAGGTATATCGCCTGATAAACTGGATGTGAAAGGTATTTCACATGATAAACTGGATTGCAAGGTATATCACCTGATAAACTGGATGTGTTCAGGTATTTCTCCCTTTCTGTGTCCGGACATGAAGATGTCAAAGAAGTCCTCCCTGCCCACAGACAGCAACTGGACCGTGTCGTGGCTGGTCACCGTGGCCGTCCTCCGGGAGTGGTGGAGTAGTGCCAGCTCCTGGCGACACGGTAGGCACAGTTAGAGATGTCAGTTTACGAGATGTCAGTTTGTGACATGCCAGTTTGTGAGGTGTCAGTTTATGAGATGTCAGTTTGTGATATGTCAATTTATAGAATGTCAGTTTATGGGATGTCAGTTATTGAGATGTCATTTTATGAGATGTCTGTTTATGAGATGTCAATTTATGCAACGTGAGTTTATGCGAGGTAAGTTTATGAGATGTCAGTTTATGAAATATTAGTTTATTCAACGTGAGTTTATGCGAGGTAAGTGTATGAGATGTCAGTTTCTGAGATATTAGTTTATTCAACGTGAGTTTATGAGAGGTAACTGTATGAGATGTCAGTTTCTGAGATGAGTGACGCGTCGAAGAGTATATTAACTTAGACTGACAAGCCTCCTGTGTCTTAGTTGTCAGCGATGTTTGCATTCCTGGTAAGTAGCATAAGTGTTTCCTTTCTTTCTTTCTTTTTCTCTTTCTTTCTTTCCTTCTTCCTTTGTGTGTGTGTGTAAAAAATGTTCTCATTTCTTTCAGCGTGTCCTCTGATTTCTTCTGTTTAGCGATTACCGGCTGCAAACTCCAGGGGAAAGTTCTTGTTGTTCGTCCAATTCTGGACCTTGGCTTTGTTCCAGGACTTGAGTTTTGCGTACATCCGTCTTACAAATCTGTCTTCTTTTCATGCAGACTGTTGGTTCCTTGCTTCTCAGGCAGATGAACTCGGACTTCGAATGAAACGTCGATCCTTTCTACGCTGGCCAAGCTCCTGACTGGGCACCTATTTCTAAGACGACAGCGGAGCGATGTAGACAAGTCGAACAGTATGAACCTTGACCCAGTTGTACTGCTATGTGTGGTTCAGCACTGCTGTATCCAGTTCGCTGAGGTCAGTTAAAAATGACGTGTCTCTCCACTCCATGTTTATGATGTCCCGTCTCCTAACACAGAGATAGTTACCTCTTTTGCTTTCTTACCGTCTTTTACTTTCTTCATTGTGCCCGGCTCTCTAGCGTAATTGGCCAAACCGGATTGCGCGGAGACCGGGTGATGAACTCCTTGTGGTCCGGGTTCAATCCCGGGGGTAGGCAGGAAAGCCACATTTTCTCCCAGATTTACGGTATTTACAATGGAATCAAGGTCGAAAGGTTGCGATATCCATAATACCGAGCCTTAGGGTTAACAACTTATGGCTTCTGGATACTAAAACAAACAAACAACTTTCTTCATTGCCTCAAGTAAGTACCAGGTGCAGTCCCGGAAAGTAAAGGCGGCCTGCGTGATGCTGAACACATCACCCTTCTTGTGCCGATTGGTCTATAAACATATAGGTCTAGCCTAATATGCCCTGTTCGCCTAAAGGCGTGGAAAAGGGTCCGTTACTTACTTTTGTTTTTTACTTTCTTCATTCTCCCAACCGTTTACGGTTTTTCTGATTTGGTGATGATTTTAATTTATCATTCGACAAAGACAGTGAGAGGCAGGAAGATATTTAGCTGTCTTCTGGAGAAACGTGAGCATAACAACTCACTGACGCCAACCAGACATGTTACCTATCTACGTGAGAGAGACGAGAATAGAACACCTCACTGACGCCAACCAGACATGTTACCTATCTACGTGAGAGAGACGAGAATAGAGCAACTCACTGACGCCAACCAGACATGTTACCTATCTACGTGAGAGAGACAAGAATAGAACAACTCAGTGACACCAGAAACCTGATTAGAACAATTCAATGCCACCAACCAGACACGTTACCTTCTCCAACAGAGAGGTGAGTAGAACTATTCAATGCCACCAACCAGACATGTTACCTTATCCAACAGAGAGGTGAGTAGAACAATTCAATGACACCAGAACGAGAGTAAAGGAACTCACACCAGAAATGCGAGCAAAACAAATCAGTGACACCAGGGACGTGAGTAGAACAACTCAATGATACCCGCCAGACATTTGACCTGTGCCCAACAGAGACGTGAGTAGAATAACTTAGTGTGACACCAGGCAGACATTTAGTTTGTGCCCAACAGAGACGTAAGTAGAATAACTTAGTGTGACACCAGGCAGACATTTGACCTGTGCCCAACAGAGACGTGAGTTGAATAACTTAGTGTGACACCAGGCAGACATTTAGTTTGTGCCCAACGGAGACGTGAGTAGAATAACTTAGTGTTACACCAGGCAATAATGTGGTCTGTGCCCGACAGAGACGTGAGTAGAATAACTTAGTGTGACACCAGGCAGACATTTGACCTGTGCCCAACAGAGACGTGAGTAGAATAACTTAGTGTGACACCAGGCAGACATTTGACCTGTGCCCAACAGAGACGTGAGTAGAATAACTTAGTGTGACACCAGGCAGACATTTGACCTGTGCCCAACAGAGACGTGAGTTGAATAACTTAGTGTGACACCAGGCAGACATTTAGTCTGTGCCCAACAGAGACGTGAGTAGAATAACTTAGTGTGACACCAGGTACTAATGTGGTCTGTGCCCAACAGAGGCGTGAGTTGAATAACTTAGTTTTACACCAGGCAGACATTTAGTCTGCCCATCAGAGACGTGAGTAGAATAACTTAGTGTTACACCAGGCAGACATTTAGTCTGTGCCCAACAGAGACCTGAGTAGAATAACTTAGTGTTACACCAGGCAGACATTTGACCTGTGCCCAACAGAGACGTGAGTAGAATAACTCAGTGACACCAGAATCAGACTCACCCCGAAACTGGTTCCTTTCCTCATGATGGCCGCCGTCTGGGCAGACGTCTCTCCTGGCTTGTGTATGGTGACAACAGCTGCCAATCAACCAAGCACGTGACTTGAGAGAACCCCCCACAAAATACAATCAATCATTCGTTCTTTATTCTTCTACCATTTACGCCCCAATGGAGCATGGACACTCAGTTAACTCCCGACAAGTCGCTCTATCTTTTCCTATCGCATGCAGCTCACACAACGCCCTCTCTATTTCTGCTAAACGTAACGCAGAGTTAATTCCGCCATATACACACTAGGTCACTTCTGATTGGTAGTTCCTGAGCCTAGTCTTCTTCACACAAGGTTACGGGGGTGGTCCGCGATACCGATGATATAGCATGTTGTATATTTCAGAACGCCTGCGCTTTTAATGCTCCGAAAACATGACCTCTAGTATTACTTAGAGCTGATTGGTTATTGCACCAGATATTGTCTTGAAGACATAACTTTTACTTAGAGCTGATTGGTTGTTGCACCAGATATTGTCTTAAAGACATAACTTTTACTTAGAGCTGATTGGTTGTTGCACCAGATATTGTCTTAAAGACATGACCTCTAGTATAACTTAGAGCTGATTGGTTGTTGCACCAGATATTGTCTTAAAGACATGACCTCTAGTATTACTTAAAGCTGATTGGTTGTTGCACCAGATATTGTCTTAAAGACATGACCTCTAGTATTACTTAGAGCTGATTGGTTGTTGAACCAGATATTGTCTTAAAGACATGACCTCTAGTATTACTTAGAGCTGATTGGTTGTTGCACCAGATATTGTCTTAAAGACATAACTTTTACTTAGAGCTGATTAGATGTTGCACCAGATATTGTCTTGAAGACATGACCTCTAGTATTACTTAGAGCTGATTAGTTGTTGCACCAGATATTGTCTTGAAGACATGACCTCTAGTATTACTTAGAGCTGATTGTTTGTTGCACCAGATATTGTCTTAAAGACGCAACTTTTACTTAGAGCTGATTAGTTGTTGCACCAGATATTGTCTTGAAGACATCACCTCTAGTATTACTTAGAGCTGATTGGTTGTTGCACCAGATATTGTCTTGAAGACATGACATCTAGTATTACTTAGAGCTGATTAGTTGTTGCACCAGATATTGTCTTGAAGACATGACCTCTAGTATTACTTAGAGCTGATTGGTTGTTGCACCAGATATTGTCATGAAGACATGACCTCTAGTATTACTTAGAGCTGATTGGTTATTGCACCAGATATTGTCTTGAAGACATAACTTTTACTTAGAGCTGATTGGTTGTTGCACCAGATATTTTCTTAAAGACATAACTTTTACTTAGAGCTGATTGGTTGTTGCACCAGATATTGTCTTAAAGACATAACTTTTACTTAGAGCTGATTAGTTGTTGCACCAGATATTGTCGTGAAGACATGACCTCTAGTATTACTTAGAGCTGATTGGTTGTTGCACCAGATATTGTCTTGAAGACATGACCTCTAGTATTACTTAGAGCTGATTGGTTGTTGCAATAGATATTGTCTTGAAGACATGGCCTCTAGTATTACTTAGAGCTGATTGGTTGTTGCACCAGATATTGTCTTGAAGACATAACTTTTACTTAGAGCTGATTGGTTGTTGCACCAGATTTTGTCTTGAAGACATAACTTTTACTTAGAGCTGATTGGTTGTTGCACCAGATATTGTCTTAAAGACATGACCTCTAGTATTACTTATAGTTGATTTGTTGTTGCACCAGATTTTGTCTTGAAGACATAACTTTTACTTAGAGCTGATTGGTTGATGCACCAGATATTGTCTTAAAGACATAACTTTTACTTAGAGCTGATTGGTTGTTGCACCAGATATTGTCTTAAAGACATAACTTTTACTTAGAGCTGATTGGTTGTTGCACCAGATATTGTCGTGAAGACATGACCTCTAGTATTACTTAGAGCTGATTGGTTGTTGCACCAGATATTGTCTTGAAGTCATGACCTCTAGTATTACTTAGAGCTGATTGGTTGTTGCACCAGATATTGTCTTGAAGACATAACTTTTACTTAGAGCTGATTGGTTGTTGCACCAGATATTGTCTTGAAGACATAACTTTTACTTAGAGCTGATTGGTTGTTGCACCAGATATTGTCTTGAAGACATAACTTTTACTTAGAGCTGATTGGTTGTTGCACCAGATATTGTCTTGAAGACATGACCTCTAGTATTACTTAGAGTTGATTTGTTGTTGCACCAGATTTTGTCTTGAAGACATAATTTTTACTTAGAGCTGATTGGTTGATGCACCAGATATTGTCTTAAAGACATAACTTTTACTTAGAGCTGATTGGTTGTTGCAGCAGATATTGTCGTGAAGACATGACCTCTAGTATTACTTAGAGCTGATTGGTTGTTGCACCAGATATTGTCTTGAAGACATGGCCTCTAGTATTACTTAGAGTTGATTGGTTGTTGCACCAGATATTGTCTTGAAGACATAACTTTTACTTAGAGCTGATTGGTTGTGCACCAGATATTGTCTTGAAGACATAACTTTTACTTAGAGCTGATTGGTTGTTGCACCAGATATTGTCTTGAAGACATGACCTCTAGTATTACTTAGAATTGATTTGTTGTTGCACCAGATTTTGTCTTGAAGACATAAAGTTTACTTAGAGCTGATTGGTTGTTGCACCAGATATTGTCTTGAAGACATGACCTCTAGTATTACTTAGAGTTGATTTGTTGTTGCACCAGATTTTGTCTTGAAGACATAAAGTTTACTTAGAGCTGATTGGTTGATGCACCAGATATTGTCTTGAAGACATGACCTCTAGTATTACTTAGAGTTGATTTGTTGTTGCACCAGATATTGTCTTGAAGACATAACTTTTACTTAGAGCTGATTAGTTGATGCACCAGATATTGTCTTGAAGACATGACCTCTAGTATTACTTAGAGTTGATTTGTTGATACACCAGATTTTGTCTTGAAGACATAAAGTTTACTTAGAGCTGGTTGGTTGATGCACCAGATATTTTAATAAAGCCATTACCTCAACTAATAACTTACCTTGACCGGATAAAATAAAATAGAAGTTCTCAGCGAAGTGACCTTGACGTATGATGGTCCTCTGTGGCGTGACACTGAAAGGGGAGTCAAACAAACATTGCAGTCACATAGATACGCATGAGTTACCACACATGATTGCATGACAGTGAGAACACCCCGTGTCTGCCTATAGTCAGCGGCTAGTGTCTGCTTGTA